ACTGGAAAGGTGTGATCATGTGTGTTGTAGAGTATACATTAAGTGTTCAACAAATGATCTTTAAATTATTGTTAAGTAATCATAAGGAAAAATATACACAGGCTGCAAGGAAACTAGCCAGGAAATTCTAGAAAACATCAATTATAAATCCTTCATACAACATTTTTCTTGTAAGTACTAAGCTTTAAAAATTACAGAACAGGAACACCCCTGCAGAATGGGAAAGTTAATGTCCCTTGAATTGTACACAATTAGTAGTCTTTCAGAATGAGACATGGAAGAATGGAGATGCAGTGGACAAATTCCCCAGGAATTTAAATTAAGACAGAGTCTCTTTAGAAAGTCAAGCAATAGACGTTGTATGGAAAACATATCTTTGATTAGGTCTGAATCTTTGAATTTCATTGGATTTTTTTAAACCAGATTCTAACAGTATGTAATGATCCCTTCCATTTATGAAGTCATAGGACTATTTTAGGGGATAACCTATTTGTCATTTATTACTGAATTGTGGTATAGCTTATGCTGTTACCTTTGTGACCTAATTTACACCCTTGTCTGATATTTCTTATGTGTACATAGTATCATTCAATTATAACTTTGAGGACTGGCAATCTTTGACTGTCTGTAGCTCCTGAAACATACTAGATCATGAGTGCTTATGAAAAGATTAGCTGTATGGCTTTTTGACTGATATGAAGAAAGAAAGAGTGAGTGGATATCAGGGTTAAGAAAATAATCTCAGTCTTCTAACTATAATCATTTGAGAAATAATCAGTCTACACTTTAATAAAATATTCATAGGCACCAAACAGCTCAATGCCATATGGAGCAGGTTCTCTACAAGCATTTGTTCAGCTTAAATAAGAATCTAGTGCGTCTTTCCAGGAAAATACAAACTGACCAGGTTGAAAGATGTAAGGTGAGGTACGGGAATAGCAAAAAGTGAATTGATTTTAAGCTATGTTAAAATTCAACTCAACTAACTCAGCTGTTTACAAACAAAAATACTTAATAGATCCATGGTGAATAAACAAATCAATGAATTTAGACTAAACTGTATGTTTGGATTTGCTTGTTTGCTTCATCTGAAACAGTCATAATAAAAATTTTCAGAACTTAATTTCTTATGGCTACAGAGTCAGTAACAGTCTCAGAATGATACTCAGCTTTAAAATGTCTTTAATGGGATGCTTAAGTAATCATGGCAATTTAATTAAAAGGGCATTCATCTTTTGAAACAGCTATTGTTCCCTAGAGAGTGCTACTTAATGTTACATTTGTGCAGTTACCTAATGTTTGTTTGTTTACATTTTAAAGAAATTATACATAGTCTTCAACTTACCTCTAGACTTCATTCCAAAAGTTTCCTCAAAATACATAATCACTCCTTTCCTCCCTCTCCAAGCATAGTGATGTTTTTCAGAGTTCTGTAATTCACCTTTTCTATTGTTGATTTAAATATTCTCTCAGTGACCTCTTTGCCCCACAACACTTCAACTGCCTAATGTGTCAGCCCCTGACAAAATTATTACAATTCCTTTCTCTCTCATTAGCTCTAGATTCACTTTTTTAGTCAGACATGCCATGCTTACTTTGAAGACAACCTGCCTCCAATCAAAATCATTGTTTTCTCCTCCTTATCCTCTTGGATTTCCCTCTTGTTTAATGATATCATCACATAATTGATCACAAAGACCAGATCCTTGGAGTCATACTTAGTAGTTTCTCATTGCTTCGATACTTAACATCAAATCAGTACAAAACCCCATTGATTCTAATTCAGAGATTCTACCTTAGCTCCAGCTGCTCCTCCCCAGCACCAGTAGCCTTACCCCAGTTATCATTTCCCAGTGCCTATTCCAGTACCTCCTAGCTGGGCTCATTGCTTCCTGTTCTTCCCACTTTAGCCTGTCCTCTGTGTCAGTGGTCCGCATCCGTCTTCTTTCTGTGGAGTGCAGTGCTCATACATGAGACGTATTCCTATGGACCACTCAAAGATCGAAGAAATAGAAACATTTAGTGAGGAAGTTTCGTATTTTAATTATTCATAGTCTTCCACAGGCCTTGCAGAGCCACTTGCAATCTGACCCTTGTCTCCATCTCCTTTTTGCTGCCTATTTCTCCTGCTCTCAATCATTGACTCTCCTGGCCCTTTCCTGCCCTTTCCCATGCTGTCATCCTTTTGACTTCCACTATATTACACCAGTTTAGGGTGGCTTCCCCTGATCACTTCTCAATCTAAATTAAATTCCTTTGCTCTTCTACACAGGGCTCATTATAATTTATAATGATGTATTTCTTCTTCTGCTGCTGCTGCTGCTGCTTCTGCTTCATCCTCCTCCTCCTTCCTCCTCTTCTTCCTCCTTTTTCTTCTCTCTTTCCTCTTCTTCCTCTTCCTCCTCTTCCCACTTCCTCCTCCTCTTCTTCTTCCTTCTTCCACTTTCTCCTCCTCCTCTTTCTCCCCTTTCTCCTCCTTATTCTTCCTCTTCCTCTTTCTCCTCCTCCTCCTGTTCCTCTTCCTTCTCCTCTCTCTTTTTCTCTTCTTCTCCTTTCTTTTTATTTTGCATTAAGCCTGATTTACCCACAATATTTCTGAACTCTGTGAACTTAGAGTAATTCTTTTATTCACCGTTGTGTTCACAGTATCTGCACAGTGTCTAGCAGATGCTGGGCACTCAAGAAATATTTATTGAAGGAATGAATCGATTATCACAACTAGTAGTGGTATATAAGTAGACTAGCTAACTGTGGGTAGTGACACAGCCCAATCTGTGTATTATGGGCAATTTCCCACCTCCAGAATGCATATAATAAGGTTACTAAGAGTCCTGCTATTATAGGCATAATTTTGAATGTTATCTAATTTATAAGAAAAATAGTTTTATTTACTAGCACTAGTTATACATCCACCATACTCATTAGGTTGGATCACAGCACACTGGAAATCTATCATCGGCTACCAGACATTTCTTCTTTGGAAAGGCTACCTAAAGCATAAAGTTCAGCATGTACTTCTCCTGTTGATGAACTTAATAGATTCCCATTGTCTTCAGAATAAAGTCCAAATTATTTGATGTCTTAATTTCTTTGGACTTCCATAATAAATTATTATAGGAGACCAGTGCGGCATTGGTGGCATGTGCCTGTAATCCCAGTTACTCTGGAGGTAGAGGTGCTTGGATCACTGGAGCCTTGGGTTTTCAGGCTATAGTGAGCTATGATCTGGCCACTACACTCCAGCCTAGGTGACAGAGTGAGACCCCCATATCTAAGAAAATTTATATATATATATATATATATATATATATATATATATATATATATATATATATAGGATGGTTTAATCAATAGTAATTTATTTTTACAGTTCTGGAGGCTGAAGGTCTGAGATCAAGGTGCCAGCATGGTCAGATCTGAAGAGGGCCCTCTTCCTGGTTCAGTGTCTTTTTGCTGTGTTCTCACATGACAGATAGTGCAAGGAATCTCTCTAGGGCCTTTTCTGTAAGGGCACTAATCCCATTCATAAGGACTCCATTCTCATGAGCTGATCACCTCCCAAAAGTTTCATCTCCGAATACTTTCACACCGGGGATTAAGTTTTAACATATGCGCATTCAGCCTACAGAACTTGGCATGTCTAACAAAGCCATTCTCAAGCTGGACCTTGTCATTGTTTCCAACTTCAAACCCAGCCAGTCTCTACCAGAGACCATGACTATGCTGGGTGTTTACATACTTTGGCCTCCACCAGGCATGTTCCACGTTTGTTCCCATATGGATGCATGTTTGCTCTTTAAAATTCAGTGCTCTCAAGCACTTTAGTTATTCCTTCTTCTGTGTTCTGATTGTATTGGATATCCTATTAATTCTATACTTTATTTTCTATTCCATGATAACTTATTGGAATGCCTATTTCCCAGACTAGATTGTAACTCCTGGATTAGACTGTGCATTCCCAGTGTTGAGCCAAGTGCATAGCCATAGAGTATAATAGCATCCAGTAACAGCTGGATGACTGAATGCACTGTGAATTGTTTGGAAGTAAAAATGCCTTTGCCCATTGAAGCAATGCTACACATGGTGATTTAATTCTCAGCTGACTAAAAAAAAAAAAAAAAAAAAAAAAAAAAAAAAAAAAAAAATCCTGTTTATACCATAATGCAATTGAAACCTATTACTAATATTGCTTTCTCATCTAGTTTCAGAATGTCCTGTCTCTGTTTCACTGCAGTCGGGGGAACCTCTTTCTTTTCCTCCTACCCCAGGCTAGAGGCAGAGATCTTTTTTATGCTTTTCTCTTTTGTTCCTCATCACCTAAGCAGGAGAGGCCAAAAGAAGGATTCTCTGTTTTATTTGCTGCGAGAATGAGATGGTATTTCTGCCATTTTGATTTTCTTGGTAGAGATGCACGTCAATTGAGAGCTCACATCTTTGGTGTTTGCCTGTGTCTTATACAGTCTTGAAGACCACTTGTCTCATAAGAAGTCATTATGCTGATGCATGAGGATCTTGCTGCAGTTCTATTAGCTGTACAGTGAAATTAACATTAAAAGATACCTACTAGTAAATAAAAGTAGCAAAAAGACCTTGCTACTTCATAAGCATCTTAGCTGTAAGACATATTCATATTTTATTAATTCTATCACTTGTCAGTTAGCTTATGTTGCACACATCAAAACAACACTTCTTCTTTCCACCTTTTGACTCTCTCCACACATCTTATATACCTTGGTTTTCTTAGATATATTCACAAAAATAATGTTTAAATTTTGGGGAAGAAACTCACATCTGATTAGTAATTGATGTCATTTATTTGGTGAATATATTATAATGCAAACACACCCAATTGCTCTTGATAGGTGAGAGTGGCACATATTTTGAGAAATAATGTGCTGAATTATGTGCGTTTTATAAAGTAGCTAATTGAGGTTTGCTAATTAAATAAATGCCCTTCCTGAATCACACTTTTTTGTTGTTGTTGTTTTGTTTTTAAATAGGTGGTGTCTGCATTGCTCAGTCACAGAAAATCCCACGTGAACCGAGACCTGGAGAATTTGAAAAAATTATCAAACGCCTGCTAGAAACACCTAATGCTCGAGCAGTGATTATGTTTGCCAATGAGGATGACATCAGGTACTGATTACTTTCCTTCTGTATGTAGGGTCAGATTTGTGTCCCATGTCCTCTTTCTAACATATTTCATGTTCAACATAAAAGCTTATAATTCCCTTGCAGTAGCAGACTGCCTTCTACTGCCTTCTAGTTTGTAAATCTGAAATACCTACAGAGGAAAACTGGGGGACTACATGAGATAAGACAAACAAGGGTGATAGAGGGAATGACGTGAATGAGGTTGAGGATAAGGCTAATTAACATGTGTTGGAGTTAGTCTCTGCTATATTTTCTTTAGGAGATGATAAGACTCAGGCAATTAGAATGATCATCTTAATTGTTAAACAGTGACCTACTGAGTGTATACAACTTTCTGGAGCTGGTCTTGCAATATTCATAATTATGGTATTTCTTAATACATGTGATATGCGTTATTTATTTTTATTCCTATAGGAGGATATTGGAAGCAGCAAAAAAACTAAACCAAAGTGGACATTTTCTATGGATTGGCTCAGATAGTTGGGGATCCAAAATTGCACCTGTCTATCAGCAAGAGGAGATTGCAGAAGGGGCTGTGACAATTTTGCCCAAACGAGCATCAATTGATGGTACGAATGCACCACAGAGAATTTGTTTTTTATTTTAGTCAGATCTAAACTGAAAGGCAAAACTGGAGTATAATAATATGAGAAAATGCATTCATTACTTGATATAATTTTTAGCTTTGATGGCAGAATTGTCAAAACCAGTATTTAACCCAGCATGCATGTGTGTGTGTGTGTGTGTGTGTGTGTGTGTGCATGCATATATGGATAAGAAGCTTTATGGGCTACTGGCTTTCTCTTATTTGTTATGTTTTTTCTTTTTTCATGCAGTGATTACAACATAATGTCCATTTGAAAGTTCTGACAATATTTACTTTTGAAAGAATATTAAAAGCGTATCTTTCTCCTTTAAAATAGGATTTGATCAATATTTTAGATATATATATTCTAAAAAATCAGTGCTATAAATGATGATTTAATTATCAGCTGACTCAAAAGAATCCTGTTTATACTATAATGCAATTGAAATCTAGTCCTAGCATTGCTTTCTCATTATATGTATAGATATATATCACATTAAATATATCTATCTATCTATCTATCTATCTAGATATATATATATATATATAGAGAGAGAGAGAGAGAGAGAGAGAGAGTGTGTGTGTGTGTGTGTGTGTGTATTTAGGAAAGAGTACCCACTAGATATTTTTTAAGAAAAAGACCATAGTCAGTTATTTCCATTATGTTAGTAATTGCACTTTGAGTTTGAGTTTGCATATTTTCTTGGGCATTTGTGGTGGCTATAGTATTGTTGGAGAGAAAATGCTTTATTTATAGAAAATGAATATATGATGCTTATCCTATAGATAAATAAATGCAACAGGAAAGACTTGGAGCATCCTGAAAGGCAGTCTATCTTCTAAATATATTTTCCAATTGATATAACAGTAACTGAAATTCCCACTTTTAACATTATCCTTTGGAGTAAGGCATTATTTCTAGGGGGTCTTCCTTCAATAAAATGGTTACCTGAGCAAATTGACACTTTAGTTCACTTACCCATGACTGCATAATATTACATTAACACAATTGCTTTATTCAATTACCTGAAAACAGAACATATAGGAGAGATAAATTTTGAAGTACGTGGAAATACAGGAATGTCTGGAACATTGATCCCTGCTAGGAAAGAGAGAAAAGAATTAGGGAAGTTTAAGTCGGGTTCTGAGTATTCAGGATTCAGCATAAAGTCACTGTTTGCTTCCTGCAGGAGTAGAGTAGGAGGGGATATAAGAAAGACACTGATGGCTTGTCACAGTGACTCACGCCTGTAATCCCAGCACTTTGGGAGGCCAAGGCAGGTGGATCACCTGAAGTCAGGAATTTGAGACCAGCCTGGCCAACATGGTGAAAACTTGTCTTTACTAAAAAAATGTGAAAATTAGCTGGGCGTGGTGATGGGCGTGGTGATGGGCGCCTGTAATCCCAGCTACTCAGGAGGCTGAAGCAAGAGAATCGCTTGAACTGGGGAAGTGGAGATTGCGATGAGCTAAGATTGAGCCACTGCACCTTAGCCTGCGTGACAGAGTGAGACTACGTCTCAAAAAAAAACCAAAAAACAAAAAGTCACTGGCACCAGGCTTTCCTGTTGTACTCATTCATGGAACCAGGTGCTTGAGTAGTAGTGGTGGTGCGGGGGTATTGTCAATTGATTCTCCTTGGCTTTTGCCATAAGAAAAGCCTTGTTTATAGGCTACTGGCGTTCTCTCATTTGTTATGTGGTTTTCTTTTTCTTTTCATGCAGTGATCACAACATAATGTTCATTCAGAAGCTCTGACAGTATTTAATTTTTGTAAGAATATTAAAATCATACCTTTCTCTTTTAAAATAGGATTTGATCGATACTTTAGAAGCCGAACTCTTGCCAATAATCGAAGAAATGTGTGGTTTGCAGAATTTTGGGAGGAGAATTTTGGCTGCAAGTTAGGATCGCATGGGAAAAGGAACAGTCATATAAAGAAGTGCACAGGTAACCACACAAATACTTTCTGTGGTGCATTTGTTTTCATCATTACCTGATAAATGAGATTTTTCTACATGATGATGAGTGTATTTTCTATTTTGTTGTGTCTCTTGTTCTAGCGTCTCAGCAGGGCTGAACATATACTAATCATTCAACAAACTTAAATTTGTTTATTGGTTCTTTCAGTCAATCAGCAAGTATTTATTGAACATATGCCATGTATACAGCACTGGGGTATCTGGAAAACATTTATTGTCTACTTTGGAAAATGTACATTATTAGGTTTGGTGGAATATAGACAAATAAACAAGACATAGTATTGCTCTCCAGGAGTGCAGAATGTAATATGTAACATCATAAGTTGTTCTAAGACAGTATTTTTCAACTGTTTTAATCCCTGTCCTCTGTAATACTATTATTTTCTTAAATCCTGCATAGCAGCTATCCCGGAACATGTGTGATTTTTTGATGCTTCACTTGCCATAGCTTATGCTTAAAAATAATAATATTGAATGTGCATTTTTGAATATATGAATAAAACTGTATTTATTTTTAGATAATATGATTGTGCACGTAGGAAAAAACCACATAATTTTTTTTTTTTGAGATGGAGTTTTGTTCTTTTGGCCAGGCTGGAGTGCAGTGGCACAATCAGCTCACTGTAACCTCTGCCTTCTGGTTTTCAAGTGATTCTCCTGCCTCAGCCTCCTGAGTAGCTGGGATTACAGGTGCCTGCCACCATGCCTGGCTAATTTTTGTATTTTTAGTAGAGTTGGGATTTCACCATGTTGGCCAGGCTGGTCTCGAACTCCTGACCTCGTGATACGCTTGCCTTGGCCTCCTGAAGTGCTGGGATTACAGGCATAAGCCATCGTGCCCAGCCCAGAATCACATAATTTTAACAGTTACTTAGAACTGAGTAGTAAATTTATCAAGGTTACAGATACGAAGTCAATATAAACATTCATTTTTACATGCATATTAGAAACTAACACATGGAAAATGAAATTTAAAGAATACTGTTCATAACAGGATCAAAAACATACAACATTAGGGTCGATTTTAACAAAAATGCACACAACCTTTACACTGAAAACTACACAACTTGAATGTGTGTTTTAGAAATGATTCCTTCCTTCCTGTACCCTACCACCCCCAGACTTTGATATGTCCTTCTTTATCCTCCTCCTCACTTTCTTTGTAAATAGCTGTTCAAATAAAAGATGTACTATGCTAAAAGCTAGCACAGACTTATAAACAGAGACAGAATAAGGAGGTAGAAATGGGGCCATGCTGTGTGGGAATCTGATTTCAGGCTTCCTGTGTGCCAGGCATTTTTCCAGGAGCTGGGGTGAGTGAAGAAAGGCAATATTCGTGCTCACGGGGCTTAGATTTCAGTGTGCAGAGATGGACACTCCATAATAAACATAAATGAACGGATGCGTTAAGATGCTGAGCTGTGCTTAGAAGAAATGCAACAATTTAACTATGAAAGACTAACCTGGGCATTAGGAGTCAGAAGGCAATTAGATGGTGTGGTCTGAGTGTGCTTTGCTAGAGGAGGTAACATTCAAGATAAGAGCTGAGTGACAAGAAGTGGTCAGCTGTGTAAAGATATGACAGCAGTGTATGACAATATCTAGCACCAGAATAAGGCTCTTTTGTTCAAAGTAAAGAAAAAGAAAAAAAAAAAAAAGAAAAGTTCAGAGAGGTTGGATCAAGAGTGAATATCGTGAGAGAGGAAGCTTGATGGCAGCAGAGGCTAGAGTGATAGACTGTAGCCAGGTCATGCACGGTCTTGAAGTTCTTTCTAGAAGTTCCAGAGTTGAGGAATTTGGGCTTTATTGTGCCAGTAGGACACAATGACTTGAAGCTTTTCATCTAGAGGATTGCTCAGACACTTGGTTCAAGAAGATTTGCCTGGCAGAAGTGTGAGGAGGATTGGGGTTCAGGGGAGAAGATGAAGGCAGTTCAGTGAGGACTCATCCAGTATCCTGGGGACAAGAAGTCATGGTCTAAGAAAAGCTAGCTGGGGGTTGGGTGTGGTGGCTCATGCCTGTAATTCTAGAATCTTGGGAGGCTGAGACAGGTGGATTGCCTGAGCTCAGGAGCTCGAGACCAGCTTAGGCAACACGGTGAAACCTCGTCTCTACTAAAATACACACACACACACACACACACACACACACACACACACACACACACACACAAAGAGCTGGGCATGGGAGCATGCACCTGTAATCACAGCTACTCGGGAGGCTGAGACAGGAGAATTGCTTGAACTTGAACCCGTGAGGCAGAGGTTGCAGTGAGCGGAGATTGCACCACTGCATTCCAGGCTGGGTAACAGAGAGAAACTCCATCTAAAAATAAGAAAGAAAGAAAGAAAAAGAGCTAGCTAGAGATAGAACGCAGGACAGACGCACTCTGGTAGCTAGTGTTATATTTATAGTACAAACTGAGTGGTTGACGCTGGGGCAAAGACCGTAAGTCATGGAGGATGCTGATGTTAAACCTCTATCAGGGAGGTCTAGGAAAATGGTGAATGTAATTAGTTAACAGAGGAAAAATAAGATAAAATGAACGGTCAGGTATTTGGAAATAAACTTGAATGTTATTCTGAGATAGCCCCATGGAACTGGCCAGCAGGTGGCAGCATAACGTCTGGGACCCCACAGAAAGTTCACTAAAATTTGAAATTAGGGAATCTTAGAGATTTTGAAGTGAAAGACAAGAGCAAAGATGCAATTGCCAAAGGGGACTGAGAAAATATGAGGAGTGATGACTGAGAATTCAAGGCCAGGAACCGGGAAAGGACACTGAGAACGCTGGGTTTGCGGGAAGGAGATGAACGTGGAGTTAAGGTTGTCTCAGTCTCCAGGAGCAAGACAGGTGCGTGAAGTTTCAGTGCTGCAGGGACCTGTGGCCGAGAGATAAGGCTGTGACAGGGTAACCAAATGGGAGGGGTTGAGAGAGAACAGGATAGAGGAAATGGAGGAAGGGATGCTGTGTCAAGAAGTTTTCAAAGTAGACATGGTGGGAGAGGTTAAGAAAGAATCGAGGAGATTTCTTTAGAACAGGACATGTTTAAGCATGTTTTCAAAAAACATATAAGGGATAGCTAGTGAAAGATTAAATGCAGAGTAGGATCTTGATGGAAACTTTAAGGAGAGGCATTAAAGAGCAATGTTACCTTTAAATCATGTGATTTGCTTGGCGGAAAAAAGTACATACAAACATATACATAATCAAAGAGGACAGTTTCATGATTAAATGCTAAAAGTCAGTATAGATTAGGGAAGTTCAGAAAATGTATGTAAGTTCACATTGTAAAATCCGAAGCTCTGTGGAGGTGAGTGTTTTATGACAAGAAGGATTTGGGAAAGAACATTCCAGATGACAGGAAAGTGGGGGTTAGTGTGACAGAGGCAAGTAGGGGCGTGATGTGAAGGTGCATGAACAGCTAAAAAGGTCCAGCTTCTTGGAGAGGGCGATGCATGTCAAGGGATAATGGAAAATAGAGGGGACAGTTTATAGAAGGGTTTGGAAGGGGAGTTTACATACTTATGTGCTTTCCAGTGAGATATATTTTACACTGTGCTTAACTATGAGTTATGAATGTTATTGTTTGATTCTCTATAAATTCATTTTCTGTTATTTAGACTGTATTCATGAAAATATCCCCGTTAATGAAATGGATGAACTCATACATGCACACACACTGTTAACCAGTCACATAACTTTTTAATAGGTTGTTTTCAGAATAACCAGTTTCTCTGAACTTATATTTTCTTTCATTCTTTTTTTTTTTTTAACTCATAAGTAGGAGTTGAACAATGAGAACACATGGACACACGGAGGGGAACATCGCACACTGGGGACTGTCAGGGTGTTGCAGGCAAGGGGAGGGAGAGCATTAGGCCAAATACCTAATGCATGCAGGGCTTAAAACCTAGATGGCGGGTTGATAGGTGCAGCAAACCACGGCACATGTATACCTGTGTAACAAACCTGCACGTTCTCCACATGTATCCCAGAACTTCAAGTAAAATAAAAAACAAACATACTTGTATTTTCTAAGTTGAATTGAGGTGTGTAGCTATTTCTTTAGCATCTATATATGGTCAGATAGTATGTGACTAGACTTTTATTTCAGGTGCAAATACTGAACTGTTTTGTGGCCGAATCCAGATTTAGTGGCATGTCTGCCTTCAATTCCTTTGATTTATTTGGGTGTTGCTAAAATTATAACAATTTGCCCAATTATAACTATTTCTAGTGCAATGAAAATGGTGTTTACTCCAAGTGCTAGGGCAAATGTACCCCTGGGGAACTGGGTCAGTAAACAGATTTTCATGCAAATTCCATTGTGGGTGATACCAAAATAACTTGTCTCTGGGTAGAAAAGAAATAAGTAACACTAATTTAATTTTTTTGAAGCAGCATATGACAGTTTCCAGATGGTGAGAGAAGATATTTGTGCCCCAAATTATACCATTAAACCCAGTTTTCATCTCTGTTTTTGGGGAGGAGGGAAGATAGTCTAGCATGTTAGTGGTTAAATGTACTTGAAAGGAAAAATCTACAGGATATTCATGAGTAGAGGTGTCCAGCGTTTGTAAAGTGTTTTAAAAGGTGGCCTTAAACAGTTCAGATTTTAACTACCTGCAATTAGGCAAAAAGTTAAGGCACTCTGAAAGTTAGGTATCTATGAGGCCCTTTTTGTGCATTCAGAACATCATCGGTAGGTTTCTCCATGTTGAGTAAAATTTTACATTGGGTGATGGTAATCTGTGAATGTAATTATTTACTTCCATTGGGGGCAATATTGGCAATGTATTTACATGGATGAGAGATTGCTTCTCAGCAGGGTGGGGTTTCTGTCTTACAAATTTTCCGGAGATAGAATATCTTCAAGCAGTTAGGAGCATTCTCTTCGTGAAATTTACTCAGTTGAAACCGTTTTCTGAGATAATTTTCCCCTCTAGAATCTCAGGAAAGCTTTC